TATTATGAAGAGTATGCAAAGACAGCATGTAGATATGTATGCGCTAGCAAACTTGACCCACATCTGCAATATTTGGACCGGGATAGTGATTAGTCCACTGAAGTGCAGATGATACGTGAAAGCTAGAAATAATTAATGACACACTTAGAGAATAGCGTATCTCCTTTGGGCGGGAAGGCGGCGTGAGCAGCCCGGCCATTTGAGCTGGCGGATATTGATGGGCAGGCCATAAGCGGACACATGTCTGAGAGAGGTGCGTCAGAACCTGTTGTCGGAGCGCCAGTCCTGTGGCCGCGTCCGGGGCGGACGCCTTCCCCCGCCCCCGCAGTGAACTCTTGCCCAGCGATGACTGCCGCGTTGCGTCGAGGGCTGTGGGACGGACTGGTATGCCGCCTGGTGCCGCCATTGAGCGGTTGCGTGTTGAGGACCCTGATGTCATGCACGCAACTCCACCGAAAGAGTGCGTGATTGATTGTTGCTGTAATCGCGGTCTGGCCCAGTCACCGCGGCTGTTTGGCGGCACACTGCCGAACTGTGGTGGCTTGCGCCGCCTACTCCACCACACACAATTCTCCCCCGCGCAGCGACCTGACTGGCCGGTGGCCGTCTGTCCCCAGGGCACCACGGGCCTGCCCAAGGGCGCTACGCTCACCCACCACAACGTGGTCAACAACATGCTGATGATGGCCGGCCGTGTGGGCTTCGACGCGGGCGGGGCGCGCATCTGCATGTCGGTGCCGCTCTACCACTGCTTCGGCTGCGTGGGCGGCTCGGTGATGGCGCCGCTGCACGGCAACACGCTCGTCTTCCCGTCGCCCGTGTTCAACGCCACCGCGTCCCTGCAGGCCACGCAGGACGAGAGGTGGGTGGTTGCAGGGGTGCGACAGCAGGACGGGAGGTGGGTGGCCGCAGGGGTGGGACGGCAGCACCGTGGGTGGCCGCAAGGTTACAACGGCAGGACGGGAAGCGGGTGGCCGCATGGGTAGAACATTGTACGTGAGTTTTCTGACTTGGTTGCGTGAGAAGGTCTGTGGGCAGTTCTGACCCTGATTTCATGATACTAACGGCTTTACCTGGAGCTCCTATCCTATCCCGTGAGTTGGGTGTCTCTGGCTGTCTTGGGTTTTTCTATTTCGTGGATCAAATTGGCACCACCCCACCTGAGCGCATTGTATTAGGCCACCTGAGCCCATGCCGACTTATGGGTAACTTAACAAAAAGTAGCGGCATCCGATTAGTGATGCAGCTGTTTATGGTCCTCCGCCCTGGTGCAGCCTGCCCGACCCTGTAGTCTGTGCGATCGAGAGGCCAGTACACCGAGCCAGGCAGCTCTCGTCCGTGTCCCCTGACGCCGCCGCCCCGCCCGCCGCTCCAGGTGCACCCACATGTACGGCACCCCGACCATGTTCGTGGACATGGTGAACCTGCCGGAGCTGGAGCGGCTGGACCTGAGCACGCTCCGCTCGGGCCTGGTAGCCGGCGCGCCCGTGCCTTTCCACCTGATGGAGGCCATGATTTCCAAGCTGGGCATGCAGAACTCTGTGGTGAGTCGGACTCGGACCCGAGCTGACATGACCCGGCCCGGCCGTGTGAACCGGACCCCCGCCGGCAGGTACGCGTGTGAACCGGACCCCACCGGCAGGTACGCGTGTGAGCTGGACTCCTCCGGCAGGTACTCAGGTGAACCGGACCCCACCGGCAAATACACGTGTGAACCGGACCCCGCCGGCAGGTACGCGTGTGAACCGGACCCCACCGGCAGGTACGCGTGTGAGCGGGACTCCTCCGGCAGGCACTCAGGTGAACCGGACCCCATCGGCAAATACACGTGTGAACCGGACCTCACCGGCAGATACACGCGTGAGCCGGACTCCTCCGGCAGGTACACGTGTGAGCCGGACCCCACCGGCAGGTACGCTTGTGAACCGGACTCCTCCGACAGGTACACGTGTAAACCGGACCCCACCGGCAGGTACTCGTGTGAACTGGACCCCACCGGCAGGTACACGTGTGAGCCGGACTCCACCGGCAGGTACGCATGTGGACCGGACCCCACCGGTAGGTACGCTTGTGAACCAGGTCGGACGTTCCGCTGTCGAACGGTGACCATGACGTTGTGTAAAAGAACGAACGCTGTTTTCATCTTGTTCGCTCAGGCAGGGCGGTAATGTCTCTGGTGCGACAGAGCTAGTGGGAAGATGTAATTCGGTCCGGAGAAGTTTATTCCGTCGTGAGCTACTAATGCGCTTGCATTGTATGCGCGAGGAACTTACGCCTGTATGTAAACGCACTCGAGCGGATCTTTCACGCACATGGAACTAGTCGATATCGAACACCATCGATATGCGGGTTTTGCTGGATGCGGCCAGTATCAGAGTCCGCAGCTGCACTTGCTGGCTTGTGTCCTCGCACATCGGGCGACATTACTGATAACGAGATGAACTAAAACCGCCGAGTTTGGCTCACAGTTTAATGTCTAATGCCATGTAGGCTCATACGGGTGGTGCGTACTTCCCTTTGAACTGTACTGGTGTACTGTAATCGTCTGCTTAGTGATGTGGATTGAAGGCAATTGAGTCATCAGGTACGTCAATGACGAGCACCTGTACAACGTCAGTACTGTTATGTAATTGTATACGCACCGTGTATAATTGTTTTGTTGTTATATTAACCTTGGAATGTTAGCCGAATCCATTTTAGGACGTTTTATTGCAGCCAACTTTTTAAAAGTCTGTAAAAGCAGGTCGCTGAAGCAACAACCTGCAGTCTATAAAACAACCTTCTCATTTTCTCTTGATATCTTTGCTTGACATGCGTAGTAATCAATATAGTACTCATCATTTCATCAAACGTTCTGAAACTTGTGATATCAGGTTGTCGCCATCTTGAATTTGACAAGGCACGCATTCCAAACGCATTTAGTTTGCTTGTTGCGTACAGTTATGTGCGAGCCTATGGAAACGCGGTTGCCGTCGCCGATCGGCGGGGATTGCAGTTAGGGAGTTCCGGTTTACCTCTGCACTTCTCATCAAATAACGGATTGCTTCATTCTGCTCGATAACAACCTGACCAGGAGCACACACTCCGTTAAAACTAACCCATTCACTCCAATATAGCTAACATCGAGTTTTTTTAAACTACGTGGCTGAACGGCTGTTCAGTTTGACTCAACGTACTGCAGGATGGAGGCGGTTTCAGTGGCTTAGTGTGGTGTAACGGTGAATGCGTTTCAGGGGTAAATGTGTTTGGAACGAGCTGCTCGTCGCCCCAAGAGGCAATCTAGTGTACTCGTGAAACAAGGAAATTGAGTTGGGTTGGAGGTTTACCTTCTGGTGGTTGTAACGCTTCAATTTAGGCTGGAACATGTTTCCCATTGTTGTTGGGCTGCAAAACAAATAAACCGCGAAAAGCCCCGACGCCTTGATTTCCCCTGGGCATTCGAAGCCCGGGCTATTCACGTCGCGTCTTATCAGTCGATGAGATGTTGCCTGAACAGGCCTGGGAAAGGTTGCTATCTGTAGATGACTGGTTATTGTAGGCTGTGATGATCGCGATCAGAGGTAAGACCAGTCTTGCCATTGCTAACCGTGTCTTTGCATCTCTAGATGCGAAGGGCCTTGAATGAAGCCTTCGCCCTTTTGCAGCTCTCTGCGTATGTCTGCGCACGCAATCTTGCTGCCTGAACAGCTGGCGGCGGCGCATTTTCCATCGGTGGCAGAGACTTCCGGACTGATGCCAGCACATGTTCATTCGTACCTGCATGTAGACTGGCATTACCATTAGCTGCGCCACCAATGGTCGGTGTCGTTCCTGAACATGATCGCAGTACTTAGCTTTGTTGTGCAGACAGAGCGCAGTTAGCTGTCTGCGTAGCCGTCGCAGACATCCAAGCAGCGAGCTAGATGGTTGTTTTCCAAGTTTGGTCGTCAGAGAGTGAGCGTCAATTTCACAAGCGAGTAAGTTTGCGCATAATCGGTCCGCCTGCACGCTGTCCGCCCTCAGCGCCCAGGGCGGTAGAGCTGATCCGTTGGCAGGCGGTCCCCCTCAGCGCCCGGGGTGGGAGAGCTGATCCGTTGGCAAGCGGTCCCCCCTCAGCACCCAGGGCGGGAGAGCTGATCCGTTGGCAAGCGGTCCCCCCTCAGCACCCAGGGCGGGAGAGCTGATCCGTTGGCAGGCGGTCCCCCCTCAGCGCCCGGGGTGGGAGAGCTGATCCGTTGGCAGGCGGTTCCCCCTCAGCGCCCGGGGTGGGAGAGCTGATCCGTTGGCAGGCGGTTCCCCCTCAGCGCCCGGGGTGGGAGAGCTGATCCGTTGGCAGGCGGTCCTCCCTCAGCACCCAGGGCGGGAGAGTTGATCTGTTGGCAGGCGCCCCCCCCCCCCCCCCCCCTCAGCGCCCAGGGCCCGATAGCTGATCCGTTGGCAGGCAATCCTTGCTCATATGATGCTGCGTGCGAATGGCCACACACCACCGATGTGACAAACAGATCTGCATATGATGCGGCGTGCGAATGGCCACACAGCACAGATTCCCGCTGTCCTCACACACTCGAGTCGCATAAGATGTGTAGACAAACATAAGACATTACAAAGGTAAATTCACTTGTATTTGTATGCTTCTAAGTACATTACAACTGCACTGGACAACACCTCCACTCTTTAGTAAGTATATTTCGCAGTACGTCATTGTTTGCTTGCGTCATAGAACACTTGTGTGTCAGAGTGGCTGCCAGATTGGCCGTGTCAGATTTGCCCCTGTAGTGGGCGAGCTGACTCACTTAAGGAGTACTTAACTCACCGGGAGGTGGCTTGTTAAAGAAAAAGTTTCACATTTGAAGATATTGAAGCAAGCATCAGACATGATGAAACAAGCTCACTGATAACTGTTAGTATACTTCCTGAGTGGAAAAGGCTGCTCTAAACAGCATAATCATCTATTTAGAAAATAGACTTAAATACGTCACGGTTTGATTACGTAATCGTACCTTGCACAACATTGAGGGCATCTTGACGGCGTTGGATCTGTAAATCGTGCTCACAAACGCCAGGTATGAACGCCCCGACAATAGCATTTTTGTTTGGCCTTGATCGCCGCATAGCTCGTGGAACGGCAACATTTGAAAGTTATTATGAGGTCATGAATGCCAAGTTGCTGGAATGCTCTCAACGAAATACTCTCCCACATTTTTGCGGATGTGTAGCTCAAAAACTAGAGGGACTTAGGTCTTAAAAAGTGCAGGGCTGTAAGCAGCACCAAAAGGTCTTCGAAATGGCTGTTACAGCTCAAAACTCCATATAAATGTGGAACACTCCCTTTAACTGATGCGTGTGTACTGAAGGGGATATCGTTATGTGCGCGTGTTTTGGCCCTTTCTCGTGGTATTTTTGCGTATTTGTCTGTGTTAATATATTTCTACTTTCTTTCGATTGCCCGATTACGGCGCTGATTTTAAGTTTCCGATTCGCAGTTTCAATTCCGTCATAACTAATACCACTGCCGAAATTCCTGCATTATGTAGCACAAAGCGTGATTCGTATTCGGAACTTGCACTGGATGCATTACACTGGTTGTTGGCCAGCTCTGGTCCGTTGCTGCCACGAATCGAGGTGATCAATGATGCAGTTTTCCGAAAGTTCTTGTTCAACGTCCAGTCCAGGGTCCGATGTAGACTATCTATCCGTCCATTGTCCCCAAAATATGAGGTGGTCAAAAGATAGTATTTGTGATATCAAATAACTGCCACCTACAACCAGCAACCGCAGTAGCTACTGGCGTCGCTTCATCCCTTCACTCGAATCAAATAAAAGAAGGCAAATGACCGTAGATAAGTAATGTGTGTTACAGGCTTTCTTGAGGACATTCACAATTAACAATTCACATCGATGTATGCCAGTCTAGACTCACTAAATTCGACGACGGCAGCTTAGTCGGATGGCGAGTGGTCATGAATCGTTTCTAGACCGGGATGAGAATCTAACGTGAGGAAGAAGCTTCTCCTGGTTTGTGGCTCCTCAGCTCCCGGTTTCTCGGGATTAGGGGTCGAAAGTTCTCATATTGAGGAAGCGACCAACATACCACGAGATACTGGTTAAAGTGCGTTGTAATCCAAATAACGACGATGTTGACCGATGACCGATAACATACATAAACACGCAGGTACACACAAACTAACTGCATTCTGCCATTATTCCTTAAGATAAAGACAAGTGTGGGTCAGTGCCTGGGCATTGGGCAGCAGTATTATGCAGTTACACGTGCGCGATGCCCCTCCATTATCTTGCCAATCTAGCATGTTCAATCACTTGAAATGCTTCATGAAAGTGAAAACTAGTTGTACATCCTCACCTTATCTCATGTCAACAAGAATAAAGGACTCAACAATGCTAGTGTACATTTCAGGTTGACCTAGCAAAGTCAGGATGTGATGACAAAAGCGACAGCCGTAAAACGACGATCGTTTTACGAATTTTGGGTATCGTTATACGACTACTATTTTACTATATTGGACTCATATGTTATAATATTGGGTTGGAAAACCGGTGGTCGCGC